AATAACTGCCAAATTAGTCTATGGTAAACCACATTAGAGTAGTGGTTACCTAGGTAACACGTAAGGATAACTGAGGTGCAGAGTAATATAGGTGAAATATAGAACCAAAAATTCATAAAGTCATAGATAGGCAGGCCTCAAATTCTTCTCTGTGATCTGTTAAAATTCAATAGGAAAGTTTACAAAACTGAAAAACAATTAAGTAAATTGAGCCCCTTCAATTGTCCATGGACCCCTCCAAGGTCATATCTCTCTAAGCCACTACCTTTGCCCCATGTCTTCCCTTAGCCGCAGTTCCTTTCTACATCCTTAAGTGTCTATAGAAAGGGCCTTAGACTGGTCTTACAGAAAACTGATCCAACTGCCAATGCCTTAATCCCTGGCTGTGCTCTGAACACAGGTATACATTCCCAGCGTGATCCTGATACTTAACAACACAGCAAATGGGCCTAAAGGTGTTCTGTGTGTGGCTGAATGTGTGGTATTGTTTATTTTTGTTTAAATCTGGCTTCACTAAAGGAGAGAACAACCCCATAGGAAGACCAGCAGTCTCAATTAACCCTGACCCCAAGGAGCTCTCAGAGACTGAGTCACCAACCAGGCGCATACATGGGCCAATCTGAGGCCCCTGGCACAAATATAGCAGAGAACTGCCGGTCAGGCCTCAGTGGGAGATGTGCCTCAATATACTTGAGGCCTCAGAGAAGGGGGTGGGGGAGACCCTCTCAGAGGCAAGGGGGAGGAGGAATAAGATGAGGAACTGTGGGAGGGGGGACTGTGAGGGAGGCAATGACGGGATTGTAAATAAATAAAATAATAAAAATTGAAAAAAACTCTGGCTTCAATTCCCATCTCTTCCTGAGAAGGGTCTTCTCGCACTCCCCAGGAACACCTTGTCACTAGAGATAAGGCATTTACTTTGTTCTTTGTAGTTTCTTATCTCCACAGTTTTCTTTTGTTCTTTTCCACATATACTTCTGCAGCTGTGCTAATTTCTGTAGCCACTGAACACCTGAAATGTTTCTAGTGCAAACTGAGAAATGTTCTCCGTATAAAACATCAGATTTCCAGGTTTTAGTGTGAAAGCAGCACACCTCACATGTTACTTATATCTTAAAATGTTTCCAATAGGCTGGGTTAAACTATATGTATCTTTTTTTTTTTTCCTTGAGCTTCTTGTTTGGTTTGGCTTGCTTCCTGTGGGGACGTTTTATTTTGTTTTTCTCACAGCCTCTCACATGGTAGTTTAGGTTACCCTAAAGTACGCAACAATCCTTTTGCTCGGGCTTCCCAGTTGCTGAGATTACAGACCTAACCCCACCATGCCTGTAAATAATAAAGTTCTAAAATTAATGTTGCTTGCTTCTTTGTACCTTTTTCACATTGCTGCTAGAAGACTTGCGGTTCCTATCGACGCATTACACCGGTGGATATAATGAGCTGGTCAGTTCTGCCTGCAGCAGCTATGTCTGCTAAGAGCCTTGTTCTCCATTATCTCCTTCCAGGGATTGTGGGAACTCTGTGAGCCTTGCTCTAGGTGATTTCCTTCAGGGGATTGCGGGAAGTCTGCCTTAGTAGTTTCCCTCACTGCCTGCTCCTTCTCAGACAGCTCTTCTAATGCCTCCATATTTTGTTTTCAAACTTCATTATGCTTCAAAACCACCCAAGGGCATTTGCAGAACATCATATTCCTGGACCTCATATGTAGATTCTGATTTAGGAAAACAAATGAGGGTCCAGGATTCCAGGCTCATTTTCAGTGCTGTTTCTCATTTTACACCATGCATTCATTGACTAACTTGTTTTTGCCCTTACCTATCTCTCCCCAAGGATGTAACAGTAATTACAGACTGACATTTCCCCAACCCTCATCTTCCAGCTTAGAGTCCTCTCATCCTGACTCTCTTTGACCTGTGCATCTTCACCTGCTATCACAAACACAGCTCCCGCAACACTGGAGGCCTTCCCTTTACTCATTCTTTCTGGCTCACTCTTCCATCTGTGCTCTAGCTTCTTCTCACTATCTCTATCTAATCAGCCAGAAAAATCCCAGTGCTGCTGCTTGTTGATCAGCCCTTATCCTCACCGTGCCTTCCTCGTTCCTTTAGGTTAGAGTTTCGAACGCTTGAAATATTGAGTCAGTTGGTAATCGCAGGGACCATCCTGTACTTTATAGGATGCTCAGCAGTTTCCCATCCTTACTCTCCTAAGGACCAGTTAGCATCCCATAGAGGATGCCTCATGATGCTTAGACTGGGGAATAAAGAGGAAGGGAATCTCTCTTACCCTAACCCCATTAACCCCATAGAGACACAGCCTTATTGGAGGCACTAGCATCAGCGTAAGAGATTCTGGGTCACAGCTCCTCCTTTATCTCCGCACTCCTTTTTAAAAAGTTTTACAGTTTTCATCAGGATAAAACACAGTAGCTAATGCAGCATGAAAAGGACACCATTTGTCTTCTACTTGCCTCCTCCAGCTTTTCACTCCAACGATGCCGAGTGCCTTTGCAGCTTAATTAAGGATGGATGAAATTCATAAGAAGTGGTAACTGTAGCCAGTAAGTATGCGAGTAGCTTAGGAGATAAATGCAAAGCTCGTGGGATGTTTTAAATTTAGGATATGAGTAAGTGTGCACTTTGTGAAACATAGGCAGAATTGTGTTAAATATATGTAGTAAGTTAGTAAATGATGAGGCATGCCAAAAGTTAAAATAAATAGAAAATATGGTGGAACAGAGGGTCACTTGCAGTCAAAAACAGAAGAGAAAAACTGTTATGGAAAATCATGGTAGGTCTAAACTGACAATTTTGTTAGCCCTAATTCAGTCACATTTTTGGAGACACCTAAAATAATCTCTTATGTTGTCTACCCAGTGCCCCTCTTCAAGTTGTTGGCCAAAGCGGGAGGGATCTTATAGACTTCCAAACAACACAGGCATTTGTAATCCAGGGTGTAGTGAAGCCATTTGTAATCCAGGGTATAGTGAAACCATTGAACTAGACCACTCCACACAAGGGCTTACTGGGGATCAAACTACCAAGACTATCAGGGAGTAAGGGAAACAGTGGAAACAGGGAAGCTTTGAGCTGATGTAGGCTGTTCAGACTGGCTGAGAACTAGATACCTTGCCCAAGGTAGTTGACATTTGGGCAGCATAAGGGAGGCTCCTGAAACATTAAGGGAGGTTCCTGTCGTTAGGCCTCTACGTACCTGGCCAGGGTCCTTCTGTTTAGAACATTGTCACCAGCACACCATTTCGAGGGGCCACTTTGGACCTAACAGAGAGGATCCTAGGAAATCCCACTCTTAGCTGAGGAGCTTTTGGCATTTGATGGCTATTGGTGAAGAGAGTCAGTTTTCTTCAGGGATGCATCTCTTGATTTTTGTTTGTGAATAGCCTCACACAGCAATGATTGGACTCTTGGTTTAGAAACAACAACAAGGCCGGGCGGTGGTGGCACACGCCTTTAATCCCAGCACTTGGGAGGCAGAGGCAGGCGGATTTCTGAGTTCGAGGCCAGCCTGGTCTACAGAGTGAGTTCCAGGACAGCCAGGGCTATACAGAGAAACCCTGTCTCGAAAAACCAAAAAACAAAAAAAAAAAAAAAAAAAGAAACAACAACAATGTACCTGACTTTGGGAGAGAGAAATGGTGGGAGGAGTTGGAGAGAAGGGAGTGGAATTTGTGTCTAGCTGTAGGCATGCCCTAGTCTCTTCCCTTAAGGTCTAATCCAATGGGGTAGGTCAGGGCCTGGCTGGGAGACCTCTTCTAGGAAGGCAGATTCAGCTTAAGAACATGTTTTCCCTTCCCAGACTTCAAACGCCCTGTGCAGTTAAGAGCAGAGCCTTGGTTAGGTTTGACTGGCCTGGCTGGGTCTGACCTGCTTTTTGAGGCCTGCCTCAAAACTGCATAACTATTTATTGTTCTTTTCCATCTTTCTTTTTCCGATGCTGGCCAAAGCTCCCTCACTTAGCATTAGACTTCCTTACTCTCTTTCTGAAACTCCACTTTCCACCCCAAGGCTGCTTGCCCATGGTGGTTGACCATGTTTATATTCCCCATCCTCCTCTCTGGGGCAACTCGGAGATTCACAAATTGCCTGCTCTGGGCTTTTCTTTTTAAACTCTAGGAAGTTATCTTTGCGTTTCTGTTGAGTTTATTCTTTTATTAATTCAACTAAGATCCCCGGGAAGGGACCCAAATTCCTAGGTTATCACATGTTAAATCTGCAGGGATACCCTAGAATTTCGGGTAACGCTTTCCTCCTTTCTAATTCTTTAACTGACAAAGAGAACAGACTCATTCCTGCACTCCTAGATGGCATCAGTGGAGGTGGAGTTGATCTGAACACACCAGATGCATCAGATTCTCAGAAACAAGAAACCATTGCATTCATAGAGTCGTGGACTACATATAGAGTTCTAACGTCCTGCCTCAAAACATCTTGTCCCCAAAGCAAAACAAAAACTCACCCCACCTCAAAACAACAACGAGTACAAGTCTCTTCTCTCCACCCCCAAAATGTAAAGGTTAATTTCCTACCTTTACTCAAAGAACTAGCCATTTTTATAATGTATAGTAATATATCTAGTTGGAATGAAGCAAAAAATAAAATGTGAGACTTTAAATAAAGGGTCCATTCCTTGAGTCGCGTTTAACTCACTCTCCTGAGGGATTAGGGGTATCCAGACGCATTAATTTGATGCCCTGCACAGAACAGATTTGCAAACGAAGTAAAGGAAACTTGTGTTCGCTGAGGGCCTCCAAGAGCTTCCCAATTCCCCAACCTCGGGAAAGGATACAATTTCCCCAGGGCAGGCAAGCATCTGAAGCAACTCTTGCTTTGAATTGAGTCACTCCCTCTTCCCCGCACCCAGTCCTTCCGCCTCCGGAGGCCTTCGGGCTAGCTTCCGCTCTAGCCGCCTCCCGGCTCCTCTTTATGGTATACGCGGTCTCTCTAGCCGCATTCGCCATCCTCTTGGTGTCTGCGCCGTGCAAGCGGTAGTGTGGAAGGCGGAGCTTGGCCTGTTCAGGTACGGTGGTTCCGGAGCCCAACGGAGACCCGTGACAGCTCTGGTGGACCGGGCCGCCCGGCTGTGAGTGGATTCTGCGGATGGCACTTGAATGTGGGAGGCCGTGGGGGACCGGGATTTGGGTTGGGAGGGGAGGCCTGCACGGCGGAGGGGGCTTGCGGCTTGCAGCAGCCTGGCTCCGGGCGGGCTCTACCCTGACCACTGTAGGTCCGCCACTGTATCCGGGTCACAGACTACAGGCTTTTAGTTTGCAGTAGAAAGATTTGAACCCAGAGCCTGACTACTGCTGGGGTTCATCCCCATCTTCTTTGTGGGGACTCGCTCGTGCCAAACTAACTATCACCTCCCTGAGTAGCTCGGGTTACGGAAATGAGTAACTAGGCCTGGGTCTTTTAAGTTTTGTTGATTTGGTTGGTTTATTTTTTGAGACAGTTTCTCTGTGTAGTCTTGGCTGACCTAAATTTTCTGTGTAGATGAGGTTAGCCTAGAATTCAGAGATCCGCCTGCCTCTGCCTCCCAAGTCCAACTTTTAAAACATTTTTTAATTACTTTATTTTGTATGGATGGATGTTTTGCCAGCATGTATGTGCCAGCAGTTCGTGGCTGATGCCCAGAGAGATCAGAACAGGGCGTTGGATTCCCTTAAAATTGGAGTTGCAGGATATTATGAGCCACCGTGTGGGTGTTGGGAATTGAAATCGGGTCTTCTGGAAGAGCAGCCTCTAAAACTGTCTCTCCAGACCGTCTTTAAAATTCACAGTCTTCTCGGCTCTAGCCGTGTGATTTTAGTTAAGCACTTTGATGGGTTGGGTTTTTTGTTTTGTTTTAACTTTTTTTCTGCACTACATAGTGCCATGTACATAGTAGGTGTCTGTTGGATCAGTCTGATGATTTGAGTCATATTGATATGGCAGAGATTAGGGACATTGGTGAGTGAATTCCATACAGAGGTGGGGATGATTGCAGAAAGGTGGGATCTGATCACATCGATTTCAAAGAAAGTCTGACGTTTGGGATTCTAGGAATTTCTCAACATGTGTTTATTTTAAAAAGTTCTTAAGAGTAAAGTGCCAGAATTTGCTAATTAGAGAAGCCATGACTGTAGAGAGAATCGGTAATTCCTTGCCCTTGGAGCTTTGTGTATAATAGATTAACAAGTAGCAAAGTATGATGTTTCTGTAAAGCAGAAAGACTTGAAGTTACTCGTTTACATAGGTTGATGGAAACTTACCTCTGAGGAGACAAAGGAATTAGTGATGCTTGAAGAACTGATGTGAACAAGTGGGGTATACAGGTGACTGGATCCCGTGGTGGTCAGAGAACATGTAACCCTAGAGCCACCACACTCTGAGGAGGTTTTGCTAAGTTGACCCGTGAGTGATTGGCCAAACTTTATGGGCCTCGAAACAATGGGACTTAAAATTGAATTGAGAAATATTTTGTTCCAGTTGATCAGTAGAAATGAGCAGTTCAGTAAATAATTGATAAATGTATAAATAAAACAGACACTAGAAATCATGAGCTTTCTCTTGGATAAAATCCCCAGGAATTCAGTTAATGACTGTTTAAAGCATAAAAACGACAACAACAAAAGCAAAATAAAACCTGGAGTAAGTCATTTAGTTAAATACTTGTCAGAGGTATTTTTTGCTGTTTGGAAAACAAAATAGATGCATATACAATGCCACACATACCCAAGAAGGGCCTTCAGACCCACTGACCCATTCAGGCGTTAAAGTATAGTGTATTTGGTGTTAATATTTGTCAATTAGAGTGTCTAGCCCCAGGGATCCTCCTGCCTCTGTTTTCCCGGCACTGGGATTACAGATGAGCACCGAGCACTTGGCTTTTTTGCTTTTGTGTGGGTTCACGGAATAATGCCTGGGTCCTTATGCTTACATATCGAGCACTATACTGACTGAACCATCTTGACTGTTGCCAACAGTCTTGTCTGGAAAAGAAACACCTCAGGTAGGAAATTTAAACTGAGCAGTTCCTGTAAGTTGTTCTTCAGGAAGTCAGTTTTAGCTCAAGCAAGAAAGAGCTAGAACCAAAGAAGGCTCTGCTTACTAAAAGGCTCTGAAAATGGAGGTGCCAAATTTAGCAGATAAAGATTCATGACTATCCACTTAGATAAGAATTTCAGACAGACAGGATTAACTTTTTAGCAATATGTAGTACATAATTGATACTTCATTATCTAAAGCACAAATTTGCAAATTTACCTAATTTGTATCTGGCAACAACTGTAGACAGTTCTCCTTTAACAGTGACTCCAAAGAGATCCTTTAAAAAAAAAAAAAATGCAGTGACTGGAACTGAAGAGATGGGTCATCAGTTAAGAGCACTAGGTGCTTTTCCCAAAGACCTAGGTTGAATCCCCAGCACCCACATAGCAGCTAACAACTGCAACTCCAGTTCCATGGCGTCTGATGCTCCACTTTCTAGCCTTTGCAGCCATGTAAGACACAGACATCCATGCAAGCAAAGCACCGATACACACTTTGCTTTTTTGGGTTTGTTTGTTTGTTTGTTTGTTTGTTTTAAATACAATGATTGGATGGGCAGTTTAATTTTCTACAATTGACCCATCAAAGATTATAGTACTTTAGGGATTTAGGTTTCTAAAAATAAACTTCCTTAGTTTGACCTTCCTGAGATGACCTTTCCCCCTCTTTTGAGATAGTTTCTAGCCCAGACTGGCATCCAGGGATGTAGCTGAGACTGACCTTGAATTTCTGATCAGTCGGCCTCCCAGATGGTGAGATTGTAGGAATGTTACCACTTGTTTCTACAGTGCTGGGAATTGAACCCAGGACTTTGTCTATTTCAGGGAGTTCAGGGCAGAGTATTCTCAGTTTCCTGCTCCAGGCCATCTGCATGCTGAATTGTGAATTTTCTTTTTCCTGTACTGAAGATCTCATTTTTTCCTTCACTATCCTATAAGATTCTTTCCTTGGGTTCCCAGTTTTTGGGTTCCTGTAAGAATGGCAACCAGCACCTCCTTCATCTTGTTCTCTCTTTCATCCAAATCGCCCACCAAGTTGAGTGTCTTATAATATATATCAGGAGCCATGCAACTGCCATCATGAGTTGCTGGCAGTCTCAGCTCACATATGCTGTAGTCTCAAGGACTACAGTGTATCCTCTGCTTGTTCAACTGATTGCAGGCCCTCATGGTACTGGCACAGCAGGCCCCATACTTCCTTGCACTAACTTTCCCTGTTTACCAGAGGTTAAACAAATATCTGTTTACCACATCTGAGGCACCAGCCACAAACCTAAATAATGATCCCACCAAAGTAAATACTGGTGAGCCAGGGAGTTTGTTTGGCTTATGGTATAGAATATTGATGAGATTATTTACAGGAATATGGGTAACACCCTCATGAATGACAGCCTCCTGGAGATTACATCCTTGAGTCTTTCCTACAGTTATCCTGTCATGTCACTTCCTGTGAAGTGGTTACAATTCCTTTGCCATTCTAGTCTCAATGTATCAGTTAGTTGCTATGGTTACCAGACCCTGTACACTCTACTCCCAAGATGGCTGTGGGGTAATTTCCCTGTGTCTAGAGGTAGAAGACGGTTGCAGAAGGTTTTGTTTAGGCTTTTCATGTGTGATTGTTCATCCAGATGAGATTTAATTTTTTCTTTTTTAATGTTAACCAGTAATCCTTTTCACTTTGGTTTATAATGCCATCTATTTACAGTACCACATCATACAACAAAACCCAGTCTGTTTGTCTGTACTACAGCAATACCATAGCGTCTTTAATTATCTTTCTAATAAATCAGCCATTCTTTTCTTTCACATTTTCTAGGACTTGTACTCTTTCATGCAGTCAGCTTTCACACTCCAGCAGGAAGGCAGAGGGGGTTTCCAATTGTCTTTTGATTAAAATAGTATTGAATTTGTAGGATTCCAAAAAGGTATTTTGTATTTTTGTAACGTTTGTATATTGCATAAAGCATACAGTGTTTTGGTTTCTAGCATCCTTGTTAAATCCCCTACAAATTCTAAGCAGTTTTTCTGTTGAGCCTCTAATATTTCTCATGTGAACATTTCTTGTTTCTTCCACTTCTCTCCTTAAACCATGTAATGTGATGTTAACATTGTAGCTGTGATTGCAAATATTCTGGTATAGATCTAACCTGACAAGACTTTTTCTCGATTTCTGTGATAAATACAATCTTTTTTATTGTAGGCTTTTGGTATTTCCTGCTACTCCATGTTTGCTGTGCTTTGCTTTTGTTTTCTAAAGAACCTGCATTTTACTAACTTTTTACAGTTTTCCAAACCAGAATTTTCAGTACAAATCTGTCTTTAATGTTTTCTCTAGGTTGGCCTATCAAAGAGATTTCTAGATAAAATAAAACAGGGGAAGCGTGGTAGATTCAAGGATGATGGATCCGTGTTCAGTTGGAGTCCAGCTTCGTACCACACACGACTGCCATAAAACCTTCTATACTCGGCACACAGGTTTCAAGACATTGAAAGAATTGTCATCAAATGACATGCTCTTACTTCAGCTTAGAACTGGAATGACACTTTCTGGGAATAATACAATTTGTCTCCATCATGTAAAAATTTATATTGACAGATTTGAAGAGTTACAGAAGTCGTGTTGTGACCCATTTAACATACACAAGAAGCTAGCCAAAAAGAATCTGCATGTAATTGACTTAGATGATGCCACTTTTCTGAGCGCAAAGTTTGGAAGGCAGCTCGTACCTGGTTGGAAGCTTTGTCCAAAATGTACCCAGATCATCAATGGAAGTGTGGATGTTGATTCAGATGATCGCCAGAGACGGAAACCCGAATCAGATGTATGTATAGATGCCATTAGGCTTTCTACAGTGTGGGACGTTAAATATGCAGAGTAACTATAAGATCATATTTATCATATTTCTATCACATTCATTAGCATATAACAGATTTAAAGTTGAGGTGAAATAGTGATGTTTTAAAATGTTTCCATACACTCAAGGTCCAGAATGAACAGTAAACAAGGGCTTAGAACAAAAGAACGTAATGTGCCCAAGATTTCAAAGCTACAGCTTCTGTTCTTAGACCTTAGGGAGCAGAGTTTAGTAATGGCCTTTAGAACATTGGCAGTTTAGGGAGCGTAGATCCTTTTCTGTTACTGAAGTAGCTAAGTGAATGTTTCGCCTACTGGAGACTGCACACCAGGGATGATGTCTGTCTTTGTCTAGGACTAAAGCACTGCTTTAAGAAAAGAATCAAAGAAGTGGCTTATCATTGATTTTTATTTTGGGTTTGAGGTGGGGGCTTACTCTGTAGCAGACTGGCCTGGAACTCTCCATGTTCTCATGGAGAACCAGCCTCGTTCCCATGACAGTGGTCCTCCGTCAGCCTTCCTGAACTGGGGCCTCCAGGCCTAAGTCATAGTAGCCAGTAGTCAGTGAATCTAATTTCAGTTTTTCTCCTTTGAAGATGTTTGGTTTGGGACCCCAGGATAAAGGACTGAGGTACATATTTTACATACCAAAGTAGACCTGGCCTCCAAGGTAGGTTTACCGGGAAATTGCTCTCAGATGGGCAAATTCACTGGCCCCAAGGACCAAGGCCAGGGAAGTCGCCATGGGGAAACAGTAGGGGGAGGAGGGTGCACACCTCAGCCCTTTGTCCCTGGGTCCAAATCCAAACAAATTATTTCATTCTTATCTGAAGTTTTTAAATATTTGTGACTTTTCATAATGTTTCTGCCTCTAAGTTCTGAATATAATTAAGGTTAAATTTAGGGCTCCCTGTGCTCAAAGAGCACATAGTTTTTACATTGTAAAGTATGAAATATTTTATGCTTTTCTCAGGTTTCATGCCTGTACACAGGTCATTTATATCAGAAAAGTTGAGATTCGTGAAGGTGTCTTTACCCCCTCAGGAGCATTTCTCAGAGGTTCTCTTTAAGCATTCTATAATTCTTGCTGCTGGCATATTTTCTCAGTTTTCTCCTTTTTGTTGTATTAATAAACCAAAGTAAAATTTTAAGTTGTGTGTATTGTGTTCCTCTCAGGCATATCTCCAGGACCCAGAACTATGTGAAGTTCGTCATAGATACTCGATGATTCTAGACTTGGATGTCTTCACCTCATCTCTCCATTGTTCTTACATGACTGACTTCTATACCACCTAATCTTGGCTTTGGGTGTATGAAAGCATTTTGAAAGACCACCTATTTTTACCTCCCCAAAATAACAGACTTAAAATCTTAGCACCAAACTTTTGATTTACCAGAGCCTATAATATATATATATATACAGACACTGTATGTCTATATATATACAGTGTGTGTGTATATATACATGTATATATGTACATATACGTGTGTGTATATAGACATACACACACAGTACACTTCAGAATGTGAAGCTACCGTACTTCTCTCCTCTTAAAGTTAGAAGTTCTGAAGGACAGAGACTTGATATTTGGAAGCTCGGTTCTGTGCTGGTGGATTATGTGACACTTTTTGCTCCTTCTCTCTTGAGGTGGCAGCCATTTGCTGTCCTCAGTGTGCCAGGCTCTTGCACCTGCTGCCTAAGAGACAAAAGGAGGAAAAATAGTACAAAAGTTTGAATATAGACTAGAAGAGTGGCTTTTCCCACCTTCCTTTCTGTGTATGTTCCAAACTGCATTCTTAACTGGGGGGTAACCTGGGCTAATGCTAAATAAACTCCTATTTGATCTCAAGATTTTAATTTATAGTTTTCTTACTTTTATTCAGGGAAGGACTGCTAAGGCTCTGAGGTCACTTCAGTTTACAAACCCAGGAAAGCAAACTGAATTTGCTCCAGAAAGTGGTAAAAGGGAGAAAAGGAAGCTCACCAAAAATACAAGCGCTGGTTCCGACAGGTGGGCAGCCAGTTCCAGTCTGTCGGTTATTTGTTGTGTTACTGCTGCACGGCTACTTTATTCCTGTGGTTTTGTTGTTTGTTTGTTTGTTTTCCTTAATTTTCATTATTTTTCTGACCAATCATTTTAAGTTGTATTCTGATGAGTTAAACCTGAAAGCCTTGGCTGTCACTCATAAGAAAATAAAGCATCCGATGGAACTCTAGAAGCTTCTTTCTGAGAAGGTAGCATGAAGTGAACGAGGTAATATTTTGGAATTAGAGTTAAAATAATTGAAGAAACATCTTAGAGCTCTCTGGTGTCTAGTTTGCAAAATTTGATACTGATGCTCTCGTCTTGATGTGTCTGCTTTCTGTGTACAGTATTTATGAGAACTCAAGAGTGCTTTCGATTAGCACAGGTCAGAAGTAGACACAGTTCTAGTATAGTCAACAGAAGGAACAGGAGCTAAGTCACTTAAAATATATATCCTAACATTGAGGCTGTCCAAAAGACACTGACAAATTTGTTATAACAGATAGGGCTGTCTTCTTACTGGAATCGACATATTTGCCTTTATTCCAACTGTGAAGTTTTCCATTGAGTGATTTAAAATATTTTCAGACCAGATTTACCAGAAGTCATTAAAAAAAGAAACAGGACTGGATGGAGAGATGGCTCAGAGGTTGAGAGCACTGGCTGCTCTTCTAGAGGTTCTGAGTTCAATTCCCAGCAACCACATGGTGGCTCACAATCATCTGTAATGGGATCTGATGCCCTCTTCTGACATGCAAGCATATGTGCAGGCAGAACACTATGTATATAATAATTAATAAGTCTTTTTTTAAAAAAGAAGAAACAAGAAGCAGATTGATTAGAGTGTAAGACCTCTAGAGGAGGAGGTGTCCTGTGTTCACAGCAGTATCATTTGGTAACCAATAAAGTGAGTCTCTGCCAGCTACTCATTCCTCTGATGCTTTGTGTAAAGCCTTTTGGTGGGACATTTCCTTATACAATTCGTTTTAGTTATAAGTAGTATTTGTGTACATCTTAATGTGTATGTATGTATGTGGGTGCATATATCATGTCATGGGTGTAGGAGATCAGAGGAAACCTGAAGTCCGTTTTTGCCTCCAGCCTTGGGTCCAGGAATCCCTCAGTTACCACGCTTGAACACTGAGCATCTTGGCCATTGAGCTGCCCCACCAGCCCTGAGCTAACATCTGCGTGGCTTCAGTGGTCCTTTATTGTCCTCATTTAGGCCACTCTTCCCATCTAGAACTCTCCTGGGGAGTACATAGTAAGCCAGTTTAGTAGACTGCGTCTCTACATAGAAATACTTTACCTCCATTTTCTTCATATCTTATTTTCAACTAAATATTCAAATATAATATGTATGAAGTGCAGCTCACTGTTTTATTTTACAGACAAATTATTCCAGCAAAGAGTAAGGTGTATGACAGCCAGGGCCTGCTGATTTTCAGCGGCATGGACCTCTGCGACTGCCTGGACGAGGACTGCTTAGGATGCTTCTACGCCTGTCCCACTTGTGGCTCTACCAAATGTGGGGCTGAGTGCCGCTGCGACCGCAAGTGGCTGTATGAGCAGATAGAGATTGAAGGAGGAGAGATAATCCATAATAAACATGCTGGGTAATTGATAGCATCAAACTACGGGGCTCTAAAACACTCTCTCTCTCTTCCTCCCTCTCTTTAAAATTCTGTCGCTTTTAGATGCAAGTATAGCCTAACTGGTGATAAATAAGTCTGAAACACCTTAGTATGAATTTGGTCGCATTTGGGGTGCTTTACAATTCTTTATTTGGTGTAAATTTAGATGGGTTGTTTTTCCAGAGTCGGCTCTAAGCTGGTCTGGGTCAGTCTAACAAGTGTAGGTAGTTGCGATTTTTAGGGTTCCCATATGAACAAGTTTCAGTGTTGATGATTTAGCTGAATCCTCCCCATCCCATAGCAGCCTAATGCAGATTTGAGTTTACCTCAGTATACTGTTAGCTGCACGGAGTCTACCTTCCCAGTGCAGAAGTCAGGATGGGCTTAGCAGCTGTGCTTCGTGGTCTGTGCCAATCAGGAGCTTCTTTTCCGTTCTGCCAGTGGTTGCTCTCTGTACACCTGTTATTTAATTCACTTACAGCAAAGCATATGGTCTGTTATCTCCCTGTCACCCATATGATATTTTACAAAAATGATCACCCAAATATTGACCAGCAAAGACGAAAATGCAGCAAAGAAATGAACAGTGACATTTCTGGAAATTTGGATCAGTCGTCAATGGAATTGTAGACATCGCCGCTGGTCATGGGAGTGTTGATTACCATTGCTGTTCTGGAGACAGATGTGCCTCAGAGGAACCTGGTGATGGAAACTTACCCACATTGCTGAGAGAAGCAGCTGGGATGAGCAAGACCGTCCTACACGAAGTTATGGTAAAAGCGTAACGTTAAAGGCCATTTATTGTAAATAGATGTTTCTCAACATTGGAATGGTCAGAAAGGTTCCTGATCAATGTTACTAACAAAACAGTCAAACACTGTTTAGACTACTTTTAGGCAACACAATAAAACTCCAATTCTCGATATATAAACTTTAATTTTCTTATCCATTTATAGCTACAAGTCTTTAATGTTTTGATGGATAATTAAAGGTCATACAGCAGTCCTCTTTCCCCTTGATTATTAGCATTTCTTTGGTGCATGGCCTCACAGTGCTGTGCAAATAGGCCCAGCCCTTAGCTGGGAGCAGGGCCTGTGACACAGAAAATTGATCTCCATGCAACACAATAGGTGGACATTTTGAAAATAAACTAGATACCTAAGTGCTAAAATACAGTTCATCTAACTAGATATGAACACAAATGTTCATTACACCATCTGCTTTTCAGTTCTTAATCTGTGCATTCTTGGTAAAAATTTGTTCCTGAAGAAAAATTTTTTCCTCTGTTTCCATTTAAGACATGAGTGTATAGTACATAAGTGGCTGCACACATTTGTCTCAGTCACTCTTCTATTGCTGTGAAGAGATACCATGACCAAGCAAGGCAACACTTATAAGGAAGCATTGTATTGAGGGCTTGCTTACAGTTTCAAAGGCTTAGCCTATTAGCATCATGGTGGGGAGCATGGTAGCCTGCAGACAGATGTTGTATCAGTATCTGAGACCTTTATGTCCTTACCCAAAGGCAAGAGAGACTCAGCCTGGCATGGCTTTTGAAACAATGCTCAGCACCAGTGACACACTTTTCCAACAAGGCCACCCCTCCTAATTCTTACCTAATAGTACCACTCACTGGTAAATACGAATTCAAGTGTATGAGCCTATGGGGCCCTTAGTCAGATCATCACAGCAGGATTTGTGGCTGTTGAGATGGTGGATAGATGGGAGGATTGAGACTTCTAAATATGTCCCTCAAGAGTGATGAAAAATGGAGATGCTGGGACATATGGGATAGAAACAAGGCTTCTGGGTACTGCTGAAGTCTTGCTGAGAACTCAGAATAAAAACATCTCCAGCACTTCTTACTCACTAAAGCCTCTTGTAGTCTCCAAGGTTCTGTTGTTCCTGAATCTTTACAGCTTAAAAGACTTGGAAGCATGGAAGCCAGTTGGAGTTTTCCAGCACAATAACATTTTTGTTTAGTTATCTCTGTACTCACTTGCTTTTCTTTGATAAGCTGCCATTTCCAACTTGGAATTAAATGTGTTTTCATTTAGAGTTTTTCTTTGACAATGTAACCCAGGCTGGCCCTGGACCTCTGCAGCCTCTGTACCACAGCCTTTTTCATACTGGGGTGACATGCATGTGTTTACCATGCTGCTAAAATTAAAATTTGGGGCATTGATTTTTTCCTACAATGAGAGTATATTTCTAATGGGGAAAAGACTTTATATAAAAAATGGCTACAGTTAATCATTCCTTAGACCAGATCTGTTCTTTTTGTAAAGAGAATAATAATGTTTCCAAGGGGAAGGTTCTCAACGGTTCTGCTGTTTGTTCTTTGTGTGTATTTGGGAACCAAAAATATTGTAGAGTTTATAGACAAAAGTATATCTGATCTTGAGTAAACTAATAAAGACTGTATTTTAGAAATAAACAATGCAGGCTTACTGTTTAATTTTTAAGTATGTATGTGTGTGAGAGAGAAAGAACTTAAATTAATAAAGACTTTTAAAAATAAACAATGCAGACTTGTTTATTATTTTTAAGTGTGTGTGAGATCTTGAGTAACTAATAAAGACAGTATTTTAGAAGTAACACAAGCTTACTATTTATTATTTTTAAGTGTGTGAGTGCGCATGCGCATGAGTGTGCATCGGATATGTAGATGTGGAGGCCCAAGGTTGATTTGGTTGTATCCTCAGTTGCTTGCCACTGTATTTGCTGAGATTGTGCGACTCACTGGCCCTGGAGCTTGCTGATTGGACCGTTCTAGCTAGCCAGCTTGCCCAGGGATTGCCAATCTTTCCCTCAGCTCTGTGATTACAGGTAAGCCACCACACTCAAGGACTTCAATGGGTGCTGGAGATCCAAACCCATCCACACTTGAAGAGCAAGCACTTCATCCTCTGAGCCGTCTTGCCACTGAAAACGATCCTTTCTGTTATTTGGTGTAGATTTTTGTTGGTTAACAAGAACATTGAGTATTTGAAAAAGTCTTATTCATAGATCTATATCCCAATCTATGATCACACCCGTCTCACCTCCAAAAAAGGTGATTAAAAATTGGTTGGCAATGCAGAACAAAGGTGTGTCCTGCCCAGACCGACCTCTGTATTAAGCCTTGCACTTGACTTCTGGCTACTCTGGGGAAAAGCTTACATGCTTACTGGAAATTCATGTGACACCTTAGTTTTTGCTGACATCTGCTGGTGTCACTGAAAATAAACACCACAAACCCGTCACCTTACAGTCATTGTATTAAGTATTATCACAGTGATGCAAAACAATCTAGTTTTTAGAAACCAAAAAGAGTATTATTTGGTGAGTGAGTGCCAATGGGATGGAGGTCAGAGGACACCTGGGTCCCCTTCTCTTCTTCCACCTTTCCATGGATCCTGTGGATCAAACTCAGTTTACCAGGCTTTCACCAGATGAGCCATCTACTCCTTTTCTGGTTGGTAATGTTGCCAGAGTCTTTCTGGAATAAGCACTACAACACCAATGAGAAGGGGAGAGAGAAATGTTAACGGTGGGTGGGAACCAGGATTGCTCCTGAAAGGCCTTGGTAGTGGGTCCAGGTTACATTACTCTAATACCATGGGTGGGGCAGATGGGCAAGATTTTATGGAAGTGGAAGTAGTAGACAAAAGTTGTTAGGATGAGCAGCCCATTGTTTCAGCTACTTCTCTAGGACATTCTGTTGTAAGTAGTGCGTGAAGTCATGCTTGGCAAATAGGCAGTAGCAACAATGCTTTAAATCACTAGATAGATTAATAAACAGCTAATCCTTGGGCTTTGCCTTATACCACTTCAGTAAGAGTTACTAATGTTTATATTGAGACATCTAGTTAGATTATATAACACACAAATCTCTGGAGAACAGTAGCTGATACAGTAGCCCAATTAACATCTATCCCAAAATAGTTCCTAGTAAGACCTTCGATTAAAATGTAAGTAAAAATAAACCCTTACTAGATTTCCTTTTATACAACTATGTAGGAAGCACAGCCTAGAGTAAGCATTGGAGGAATCGGGACTGTTAAACTCACAAGCCTGCTTTCTTCTGGTTATCTGGAATTTGGCAGTGAAAGCAGATAAAAACAGCTGTGATCCTATGTACCCTATTGGGAGGCAGCCTCCACCTGAAGCCCCCCAAAATGCTAAGAAATGTTCAGGCCCTAAACCTGGGCTTTGTCAGTGAATAAAACACGTCCTTAAGGAAGAGGCTCCATGCAATTTGCACCCTCCATCATTACGCTTACAAGTTCCTCCTCTCTAGGTCCTGGCCCTGAGCAGTTTCCTACTCAGTAGATTTCACTCTTACAACAAAGGTCTCAGACACTTTGCTATATTGAGGTGTTTTGGAAGAGGATTTCCATGTAGTCATCTCTGAAGCTTTGATATGAGAATTGTCACATGGTGACTTTTCCTTTAAAATTTTACTGTAAAAACTAGTAAGAAAACAGCATTTACAGGATCACATTCTTTAAGAGTTTCAACCCTTTAGAACATTTCCTCATGTAGTGACCCCTAGCCATAAATTTACTTTGATTATGAATCATAATATAAATATTTGATATGCTGGACACATGATAGACCCACAGGTTGAGAACCACTGCTCTAGAAGTTTTGATCCAGTCTGACTGACCAAGTCTGGCTGTTCCAAGTTTCCATTTTTACATCTTCTAGATTCATGTATACCTGTGCATTGTGATACCTGCAGGCATCC